GATAAGTTTCGCGCCACAAAGCCGAATAAAGGATCGATTGCGCCATCCATCGATTCCGTCCGTGAATCTTTCGTCGCACTCACCGCGCCGTCTTGCGAATATCATTACTACAATTTAGCCGCATATTTGGATATCGATGTCGCTGTCGTCCTGCCGATTCTTCGCGCTAATCACGCAGCGCGATTCTCCCCTCAGACACAAATCAGTACTTGCCGTGTCAAGTCGTGCTCTCAATTACTCGTCGAAAGCAGCAGATTTCTTTCTACGTGTTCGCTACCGCGACTCGTTACTTTGTTCTTCTCATCACGGCTACCGTCGTATGGATGAGTATCGGCGTATTAACAGCCGTTAATCGTCTCTCTCGTCGTGCCACGCGAACAACACTTCGTTTACCAGTGAATAAAGCTTGTTTACAACAAGTGAAAAGAGGAGTGCTCAGTGGTCTCAACCTTCCAGTCCACCAATCCATTCCGTCATTTGAGATCTCAGTCGAGAGTTACGGGTTAGATCCGGCCTATTATTGCACTCTGCCGAGTTACGCTTGGGATGTTATGTTAAAGTATACCAATATTACATTCGAATTACTTACCGACATCGATATGGTGTTATTTGTAGAGCGCGGCATACGCGGTGGTTTAAGCCAATGTTCGAATAGATATGCGCGTGCTAATAATGCGTACCTATCGTCATATGACCCTTCGCAACCCTCTACGTATCTTATGTACTTCGATATTAATAATCTATACGGTTGGGCAATGATGGAACCATTACCATTCAGAGAATTTCAATGGATCCATAATGTCGACAGTTTTAACGTAATGTCGGTACCGATAGAATCTGACATCGGTTATATTTTAGAGATCGATCTTGCATATCCGAACTTGTTGCATGACTCTCATGTTGATCTACCGTTCTGTCCTACGAGGGAAATACCTCCTGGAGGAAAACGTTACGAAAAACTTCTAGCTACGCTGCACGCTAAGGAGCGTTATGTCATTCACTATTGCAATTTACAGCAATGCATTCGACATGGTTTGGTCGTGACGAAAATTCATCGGATATTAAATTTGCACAATCCAGATGGCTTCGAGGATATATAGAGTTAAATACGCGATTTAGAATGCTCTCGAATAACGATTTCGAACGGAATCTTTACAAATTGATGAACAATGCTGTATTCGGAAAAACAATGAAGAATGTGCGCGATTATAAAGACGTACGACGTATAACATATTGGGATGGAAGATACGGTTTAGAAGCGATGCTAGCGAAACCGAATTTTTGCAGTTGGAGTATTTTTTCTGAAAATTTGGTAGCCGTTGAATTACGTAAACTCGAGGTAATGTTGAATAAACCGATATACGTTGGTATGTGTATTCTCGTCCAAGATTCGTTTGTATGAATTTCATTACGAGTACATGTTGCCATTGTATCGCGACAATTGCATGATCATGTACACTGACACAGACAGTTTGATATATTTGTTGACGTGCGACAACGTATACGAGGATGAAGTGTAATATCACGAAATTCGACACGAGCTATTACCCTGAGGATAATGTATACGGTATTCCGCGTTTTAATAATAAAGTGCCAGGTATAATGAAAGATGAAAACAACGGTGCGGTAATGACCGAATTTGTTGGACTTAGAGCGAAGATGTACGCATTGCGAGTTGCCGGTAAGAACGATGTAAAAAAGATAAAAAGCGTTAGGAAAAGCGAAAACGATAACGTTTGATGATTATGTTAAATGTTTGCTTGACGCGCACGAACAATCGAGGCGTCAATCGCGCATACAATCGTCATTGCATGAGGTGTACACGATTTCTGAAACTAAACTTGCTCTTACCTCATACGATGACAAATGATACATCTTACCAAATTTAATTGGAACTCTACCCTGGGGACATTATAAAATACCAAATCCCTAGAATAAAATACCCTTATAAAATACTCTTACATTAACATGCGTTACAATACCTTTATATTAATATGAGTTATAATACCCTTATATTAACATGCGTTTCATATGTTTGAATACACTTATAAAATACCCTTTTGTTAATTAACATGCGTTTTTATTCCGTGATTCTCGCATACCTTTTATATATTAACATGCGTTTTTATTTCGTGATTCTCGCATAATATTATATCTTTATGTAAGATGCGTTAAAATTGCACGAATATTATATGCCTCTGACACACTTATAAAAATACCCATAAATTTTTATTGTGTGATTCTTACAAGTTATTATATCGTTATGTAAACAAAACTTATTGGACATATTGCAAAACAATTGCTTATGTAACGTATGTACTGTATTTTATTATTCAATAAATGCACACTTTACAAAAACGACTTATTGGATATATTATAAAAAAACAATTCCTCGTGTAATGTATGTGTATGTACTGTATTTTATTATTCAATAAATGCACATTTCACAAAACATCAGTTTTATTTATCCATGAATTATGTGAAGTGTCCATGCCTAACCATTTCACGTATACTTCGTTGCCTCGTTTGCGTAATACTTTCTCTACAAGATAGATGTTCGGATCGGATACTCGTTGCAATTCGTATTCGTAAAAACCACCGGATATCGACTTTCCTCGATAATCTCTCAGCAGATACGTCGCAGGATTCGTACGTTGCGCTTTGGCGATGTGAAAGATCTCGGTGGACCAATTTGGTGTGTATCCTTTTTCAAAAATCGTTTTGAATTTACTAATACGTACTGGTTCGCCTTTCTTGAATTTCATCGGAGGAGTAATTTTCACGTGACTGTAGACCGTCGACAAGAGACGTTTTGCAACGGGAAGTGTAACGTCTATCGGGCGCATTGCAATGGTTCGATGTCTACGACGATTATAATTTGACAGTAGACGCGGCAATTCGTCGATCCATTTGTACGTGCCGTTCAACGTAAATACTTTCCAAATATTATTTTTGAGAGTATGGTTGAATCGGTCCACTACCGACGCTTTCATTACCGAATACGTAGAATAGTGATTTACGTTGTGTTTCTGCAAAAGTTTCTGCACGGTAGCGTTGTAGAATTCCTTTCCTTGATCCGTCTGTAGATTCCGCGGGTATCGTTTGTCTTCGCGAAATATTTTGGATAACGCCGCTGTTACGTCGCTTCCGCTCTTGGTCTTGAGTGGTAATGCTCACGCGTACTTACTCAAAACATCGATAACAGTCAAAATTTAATTACAACCTTTATTCGACCGCGCATAAGGGCGCATCTCAACCACATCTGCTTGCCATAAATCGTCACGACCGCGCACAATAACTCGCCGTCGCTGAAAATTTCTCCGCGCGGGTGCGTGAAGCTCCTCCACGAGTCTCCGTTTCTCGACACTCATCTCCTGCCGTTATGACATTACGCAAGCTTCACGTGTGTCTTTTAAATTACACGTTACTGCATTTTTCACGTTAATCACTTTTTAATTTTATCGCGCTTTCCAGACTTCGACATATCGTTATCAATTTATGATAAATCCGGTCTCGCGAAGCTCCTCAATTATCGATAGAATTTCGTTGTCGTGAGCGTTATTGCCAGCGATACGGGAGGCATCGAGCAACTGAAGACGGTCCACTAACTCATTCGGATCGTCCCATTGAACGTAATCGACTTTGTTGTCGGTTACTCTCATAGTCGTGGGCACACCTGCACCCAAACTCATAGTTCTGTGTGCAGATACGAGTGGACCGATAATGTACTTATATTTGTATCCTTTGTTACTTTTGACAGGCATTTCAGCATTATGGCGACGTCTGTGAGCATTAGTTGTCAACAGTATACTCTTGTATGTTTGCTTATCGTTCTCGGTGTAAATGTCGTCATCGGGAAGTCTCTTGAAAATTAACTCGTACAAACCTCGTGTACCTTTATATCTGTTTCCATCGATTATCATGCTATCGTCTGTTTCAACATCGAATTTTTTATCACCCAATGTGCGAAATTGGCGAGATGGAGGAAGGAGCGCGTGAATAAAAGAAAAATTAAGAAGTAGAACTAATTGCGTTTATTCTATTCACAGACAAATTCTGTACAGCGAGAAATAGCCAGCGTCAGGCTGAAATCGTACGCGTTTGACACTGTGAATTTTGACGAAGAAGTCTAAGAGACGACTGCGACTCGCGTCTCCGTGCGCTTGGTTTTGTTCCCTTCTGAAATCTAGAAGCTTCTTTTCCGTTAAACTGAATTTTTACTCGTCGAAAGGACGAACAATAAAAATAATGAAACTTCTAGAAATCAAAGGGTGAAGAATAAGTGTATAATAAACATCGCTCAGACTTTAAAATCATAGGCGGAAGCGGTATACGCTGGCCGCCTATAATTGGCCGGTCGACTTTTCGTTGAGTGCGCTGTAAGCGCAAACCCGTGGCGTTACGATTGGCGGGACGCTCTTGCGAAAAGCGCGCCGAAATTCCAAACATCCCGCCCGCCTCGTCGAGTATAGCTAATTACCGATGACATTGTTATTCTAAATGTGCGTTGATGGCGCAAGTATCGATAAGTATAGCGCTGGTCACTCACCTGTTCGATTCGTGGCACGCGGAGCGCGCATGTAGTAACCGCGTGAACGAGCCGAACAGCTGATTGATACACAAGTGAAAGTGCTTTTCGTACGACATTATTGTGCGTGATAACCAAGTGGTTCCAGCTTAATTCTGAGCGCAGTTATGATAGAAGGTTGAAGCCAGTGACAAATTGGACGCGGAGTACTTGAGACAGCGTAACAAGAAATCGCGTGATAACGTAAGTATGAAATACACGTTTAACATAAATGATTCAAATTGGTTGCATGACAATAATTCGTAATGGTAAGACATACGAAACAACGAGACCAAAGAAACAAAAAAATAGATCGAGCAACAAATGAACACGAAAAAATCTTTACAAGGTAAGTTTCTAATATATACTATTTGAAATATTTACAACGATAATGCCACTGGTGTCACAACACCGCGAGAGTTGCAGGAATGCGTTAACCTTGTGAAGCGGTTCGGTCCTCCCCAGCAAGCGGCAAGGGCACAATCTTTACGACAGGTCGAATCAGCCGACTGACTGGGGTCCGTACTTCCACCACGCGTACCTGGCCGTCGTCTCCTGGATGCAGGCGAATTATCCGAGCCAGCGGCCATCGAGATGGAGGCGTATTCTCGTTTTTCAGGAGACACAGTTGCCCCTCCTGTAAGTTTTCTGCAACCTTCCACCATTTCGGTCGTGGAGTGAGTCCCTGTAAGTACTCCTGAGACCATCGATGCCAAAAATGATCTCGCATACTTTGCAGGAGGCGCCAGCGACTCAGCGTATTAGAAGGAGTGTCTAGTAAGGATGGTTCCGGAATTGCGATGAGAGGAGCTCCAATGAGGAAATGCCCCGGAGTTAATACGTCAAGGTCTTCCGGATCATCCGTCAAGGCCTGAAGTGGACGTGAGTTCAGGCAGGCTTCCACCTCTGCCAAGAATGTAGCCATCTCCTCGAAGGTGAGTGTGGCCTCGCCAATGACTCGTCTGAGATGGTGCTTCACTGACTTCACCGCTGCTTCCCACAAACCACCGAAATGCGGAGCAGCTGGCGGGTTAAAGTGCCACCGAATCCCTTCTGTGGCCAGCTTCCCGATGATGTTGTGAGCGGTTTGACTGGCAACGTCAAACAAGGCGCGAAGCTGGGCGTCTGCTCCCACGAAATTGGTTCCGCAGTCGCTGTAAACCGTCCGGCACAGGCCGCGTCGAGCTGTGAAGCGGCGAAAAGCTGCAAGAAAAGCTTCAGTGGTGTAGTTGCTCACCACTTCCAAATGTACAGCCCTCGAACTAAAACACACAAAAACGGCCAGGAATCCCTTATAGGCCTTGTGACCTCGGCCTTTGGATGTCCTCAGTAGGATCGGTCCTGCAAAATCCACGCCGGTGTGTGAGAATGGCCGACTGGGCGTCACTCTTGACCTCGGAAGACTGCCCATCATTGGTTGCGGAGAAGCTGCCCGCCATCTTATGCACTGCACACACCTATGGATGTGACGCTTCACCAGCTGTCGTCCTCGAGGTATCCAGAAGTGTCTTCTGATGGCTGTCAAGGTCGCCTGAACGCCCCCGTGGAGAGTGCGACGATGAAAGGCATCAATAACCAAGTAAGTTAAGTGAGATCCCGGAGGCAGGATCACAGGATGGCGTTGATCCTCACTCAGCACTGCATGTTTTAGTCGACCGCCTACACGCAGTACACCATGGTCATCAATCCTTGGCGAGAGTTTGTGAAGCGAGCTGCGAGGGGGTACCTTCCGTTCAGCGACGATGGTGTCCAGCTCAGCATGCCATTCAATTGACTGCACCATCCGAATCCATGATTGCGTCGATCGTTCCAGTTCGACTGGAGTCAAGACGAGGACGGGACTCTGTGTTGGTGGTCCTGATGATGAAAACTTCGCCTCCTCCAACGTAGAATCCATGCGGTGACGCGGATCAATCGTTGCCACGAAGAGAATCGAGTCAGCTCCTCCGGTTCCTTCAATCCTGTCGCAACGAGACATGATCCGGTCCGTTGTTCCGGTAAGTTCTTCAAGGACGAAGAGCCGGGTTCCAAAGGCCATTCCGACTTTTCGTTGCATAAGAAGTTCGGGCCACGCCACCATACCGAGTGAGAAAGCATCTCACGTGGTGAGAGCCCCCTCGAAGCGCAGTCAGCAGGATTATCTCGCCCAGGTACGTGGTGCCAAGTGACCTTTGACATTGTCCTCTGAATTTCTGCCACTCGATTGGCCACATAGGTTGTCCATTTTGCAGGATGTCCTCGGATCCAGGCCAAAACCACGGTGGAGTCCGTCCATAAATGTGTCTCGGCATCCACTAAGCCGAGCGTGGAAGCTACGTGAGCAGCAAGCTTGGCGAGAATGGACGCTGCGCACAGCTCCAGCCGTGGCAGTGACACTCGTTTCAACGGTGCGACCTTGGTCTTTGCCATCACCAAGGAGGTGGTGATGTCTTCACCGCTGAGTGTCCGGAGGTATATGGCTGCACCATAAGCTCGCTCCGAGGCATCTGAAAAGCCATGAATTTCGACTTTGACTCCTGGCGAGTCGACGTGCATCCATCGTGGCACTCGTAGGTCCTCTAGTAAGGGAAGTTGGTCCCTCAAGGAAGTCCATGCTGCCGCCTCCTCGTCACGCAATGGTTCATCCCACCCGAGTTGCTGCAACCATGCTGATTGGATGATCAGCTTGGCTCGAACTGTAACTGGCGCCAACCAACCCAGTGGATCAAACAAGCGAGACGCGTTCGAAAGGAGCAATCGTTTTGTTAACGATTCCTCGATTGACGTATGCACGGTAAATGCGAAACAGTCGCTCTTCGATTCCCAACGCAGGCCCAAGACCAGTTGACCTTCAGGAGGCAACAAAATTGTTGGAAGGCTTCCTGCTATGATACTCTGTAGGAATATCCTGGATCAAGGTAGGGTGGTTGGCGGACCACTTTCTCAGCGGGAATCCGCCCGCCATGCAGAGCTTCACCAGCTGATCCGTCAGCGTCCTTGCCTCCGTCAACGACGCAGCTCCAGAAAGGATGTCGTCCACGTAGGTGTCTCGCCTCAGTGCCTCCGCAGCCAAGGGGAACTCCTTTCCATCGTCGTCAGCCAGCTGTCGCAGCACTCGAATCGCCAGGTATGGAGTGCAGGCAAGACCATACGTAACGGTGTTCAGACGGAACTCTAATGGCTGTCCATTTTCTGTCCATAGAATCCGCTGTAAGTTGCGGTCTTCTGGATGTACCCTGATTTGGCGGTACATCTTCTCGATGTCAGTGGAGACAACGAAACGATGACACCGCCAGCGAGAAATCACGTCCGAAAGCAAAGCAGGTAATAGATTTGGCCCGGGCAGTAGACTGTCATTCAAGGAGTTCCCTTCAAGGATCTTCGCCGATCCGTTGAAGACGACCCGGATCTTCTCCACGCTACCTGTTCCCTTGAGCACACCATGATGCGGTAGAAAACACACTCGCACTTCGTCCGACGGCAATGGCACGGCGAAGGACATGTGACCGAGCGACAGATACTCGCGCATGAAGTTGCAATAGCGATCGCGGAATGTCGGTTCGCGGATAAAGCGACGTTCCATCACGGCGAGCATTCTTACGGCCATGCGACGAGTGGCCGAAAGATCAACTAAGCTTGATCGCACTGGAAGGCGCACTTGATAACGACCAGTGGAGTCTCGTGTGTGTGTTTGCTGGAAGTGTTCTTTACACTCGGGATCCTCGAGAGACCACGGTGCCGACGCTTGCGGCAACTCTTCTTGCTCCCAAAACCGACGCACCAGGGAGTTCAGCTCGTCCGCCGGTGAGCAGCACAAGGAAGTGACCGAGCCGATTGAACAAGCGTTGCTAACACCTGCGGCGCCCAATAGAACCCAGCCGAGCTGAGTGTTTTGAGCGATGGGCTCAAATGAACCGCCCTTCCGTATGCCGGACAACGCGATGTAGGCGTACACGTCTGCGCCCAGTAAAAGTTCTACAGGATCCTGATTGTAAAACTCAGGATCTGCAAGTTCAAGGCCCTGTAAGTGAGCCCATGCACAGCTGCGTCGATCAGCAACACCACCGTAGTCCGTGATACGCGGGAAGACGAGAGCGGAGATCTTCATGGATACGGCAGTGACACGCGACGTGAGCGAAAGAGAGACTCGTGCTCGCAAAACACCGGTCTGCTGGCCGCCGACACCGTAGATCGCCACTGCTGTTGGTGTGCGAGGCAGACGCAGCCGCTGCGCCAAGGACTCCGCCACGAGGCACGTTTCCGACCCGGGATCAACTAATGCTCGAACTGTTTGCAGAGCACCACTACTATCGGTCACTAGAACGCGCGCGGTCGCGAGCAACACAGGTGTGCACTCAATCGTCGGCCGATCTGCCACGTGGATAGCAACAGCGGAAATTGTAGTGGCATCGACAAACGGCTCATGCAACGTCGTGTGATGCCGAGCTGTACACTTACCGCAGTGCTTCGTTGACGGGCACTCCGTGAGTTTGTGACGTCCTAGACAGTTCATGCACAGGCGATGAGTATTCACAATTTCCTTACGCTCTTGCGGTGTTCGTGACTTATAGTGCTCACAAATCATAATATAGTGTTCCAGATTGCAGATAGGGCAATTCCGGCTGGACTCCGCTCCACGCTTAGGCTGCTGCTGAGTACGCAACGAACCAGTGATCTTCTCCGAGGACTTCCCGGAAGAGCCTTGTGAGGCCTTGGGACGGAGCACACCTTGCTTCAGCACCTGATCCTCGAGGAAGTCACGCAGCTGCTCATAGGAAGGTGGGTCTGATTTTTTCGTAAACAGTTTTTCCCACTCTTGTTTAGTTCGATAGTCAAGAAGCTCGACGATGAGGTGCACGAAAAGGTCCGTGCAATTGGTGATAGGACGTCCGATTCCTTCCAGCGCTCCGACAGTAGTTATCATCCGATTGAAGATTCGACGAAGGTCAGCGACAGAATCGTGCTTCATCCTTCCGAGCGATGTGAAAGCCGAGAGATATGAACGCAGAAGTAACCGTTTATTTTCGTAATGATGAGTCAAGGTCGTCCATGCGCGATCGAAATTCTCCGACGTGGTAGGGAAACTTATTATGAGTTGCTCTGCGTCACCTTTCACACTGCTCTTTAAGTATTGAAACCGCTTTATGTTCGACAGTGACGGTTCCGTGATGACGAGCGACTCAAAAAGGTCACGATAGGCCGGCCAATCCTCGAACTTCCCGGAAAACTGAGGCAGAGGAATCCGAGGCAGCGTGTTTCGCAGAGAAATCATGTCGGAATTAGCGGGCTTGACTTCCGTGTCAGAGGCAGCCACACTCAAGGTCCTTTCTAGATTCAGCAACTGCGCACGCTGCTGAATGTATACGGTTTCGATTTCGCTTAAGAAATCGTTGGTAAAATATTCGTGATTCTCGAGTGCTTTACCGAATGACTTCACTAATTCGTAGTGTTGTTCCTCAGCACTCTTCCACTTGGACTCAAGAAGTGAGAGGGAAGACTGCACCATGGTCACGCCGATATTGGCGGCTCCCGCCTTCTTGAGATTTTCCATCGTACGGGCGATGCGCCCATGGATTTGCAATTGAGCAGAAAGTAATTGCTCCATCTCACTTTTTCAGATTCCACTGCCACGAACACTCGACGCACCAGGAGTTTTCTCACTCGCGATGGAGATAACGACGAGATCGCGACAACGAATCCGGCTCGAAGGACCAAAAATGTGCGAAATTGGCGAGATGGAGGAAGGAGCGCGTGAATAAAAGAAAAATTAAGAAGTAGAACTAATTGCGTTTATTCTATTCACAGACAAATTCTGTACAGCGAGAAATAGCCAGCGTCAGGCTGAAATCGTACGCGTTTGACACTGTGAATTTTGACGAAGAAGTCTAAGAGACGACTGCGACTCGCGTCTCCGTGCGCTTGGTTTTGTTCCCTTCTGAAATCTAGAAGCTTCTTTTCCGTTAAACTGAATTTTTACTCGTCGAAAGGACGAACAATAAAAATAATGAAACTTCTAGAAATCAAAGGGTGAAGAATAAGTGTATAATAAACATCGCTCAGACTTTAAAATCATAGGCGGAAGCGGTATACGCTGGCCGCCTATAATTGGCCGGTCGACTTTTCGTTGAGTGCGCTGTCAGCGCAAACCCGTGGCGTTACGATTGGCGGGACGCTCTTGCGAAAAGCGCGCCGAAATTCCAAACACCCAACATTGTACCATTCTCATCGAAATAAACACCGTATACGTGATCGATTTCATTTCTCTTGTCACCACTCAAAAGAGCATTGATGTATATGTGTCCTAATGGTCCTAGTTGACTATTTAATCTATCGCGACCTTGAGGTGTCCTTAAAACTTCTCTGACAGACGTTTCGAGAGATGGATCAGCATCGTTGGAGGTTTCGAAAACGTCCTCATCCTGTACCGCGGGGAAATGAAGTTGCGAATCTATCGACATAACGTTCGACGACTGTTCTTTTAACGGAGATCGATTTTACTTTTTCTGGAAATTGCATCATCAACATCATTATCGTCGTCATTGCCGTTGTCAGTGTGCCTAAACGTAGGTAAACGTACCTTTCGGCGTTTTTTCACTTTTCACGACATTCGTAATTTTCGACGATTTATCTCGCTCGGTGATATCAAAAATTTGTCTCAACGGTTCTACGATCGGTTTGAATCTTTTCTCCAGGGCAATTTCGCTCTCCATTATGCCTGTTTTCAACGCTCTATGTTTCTTACGAATCGACGCACGTGTTTTCGCGATCAATTTTGCGGTTCTTTCGCGTTCGGTGATGTTCTTCGTTTCGTCCATACCGTCGCGATGTCACAATAAACACTGCACAACTTACAGAATCGCGAAATCGTCGAAGCCACGTCTGTACCTTCCGTTCTGTAATGCACTGTCCTTGTCTATAACCACGAAACCGTATTTGCGTTGCCAACATAGAGAACACAGTGTACAAAATTTCTCGTACGACATATCGGTATTCACGTGATCGTTGTAAATGTGTTTCAGATTAGTGCCATCTTGTTTGAATAGAATTAGCAAATTTGCATTGTCGCGTATAAGATGCTTTGTTATTTTCGCATATGTTTGACAGAGATAAAAACAATCGATACTCGCATGTCGACCCATAGCGAAGTATTCCCTGATAGTATTCTGCTTGTCGCAGGCTACGTCGTCGAATACGAAAATCGAATTTGGAAGCGCATCGCTAGGCGGAATAACGTCACTATTATTAGAAAAAGCATAATAACCGATATCATCGATCGATTTCAGCAGCTCTTTGAGATATCGATATTTAGGTTGAAACAAGGATTTCAAGTAAACGTAAACGTTTTCGAAACGTAAACCATGTGGACTCTCGATCAGCTTAGCAACATATTCGTTTTACCGCAATTGGAAGGTCCGCAAATGATGCAACGAATCGAACTAGGTAGTGCAGGACCGTGTCTGCAATTCTCTCTGACCATTTCACTTGACATCAGTTGCGTCTTTCGATCGAGATTCGATACTCCTATCGTTCGAGATTGTCGCACGAATCGCATTTGTCGCTCTTTTGACGCGCGTGCGCGAATTTCGATGCGACACGGGAAAGTCACGTGCTATTTATACCGCGGACAGACGAGCCTTTCACACAGTTTATCATCTATTGTGACGAGTGATCATTCATCGAAAAAAGAAAAAATGTTCATTCTGATAACGGACAAACGTGACATTCTCGCATTTACAGCCGAACAACTGCAATACATACCAAGGATCGTCTTTCTGCGAGATTTAGAAAATTATATAGAGGAATTGTGGGATCGATTACCCGATCATATAAAATCCGATACTGAAGTGATACGTTGTCGTATGTGTTTCGAGCATTATAATCTTCCGAATCAACAAACGCAAATAGACGGTCCACCGCCTCTTATCAAGAATTGTCCCCAATGTCGCGTTGATATGCAAAAAAACACATTGGAATGATACCTGCGCACGGTGCAGGTTTACTGAACGCGACGATAAACGCGCTTCCATTTGAATTACACATTCCTGGATACCAATTTTGCGGACCTGGTACGCGTCTTGCGAAACGATTAGCTCGCGGCGATCGAGGCATCAATCAATTAGACGCGGCTTGTCGCGAACACGATATCGCGTATTTACAGTAAAGACCTCGTCAGTCGGCACAGTGCTGATCGAGCTCTCGCCGAGAAAGCAAAACAGCGTATTACAGCAAGCGATTCGACGTTCGGTGAGAAAGTCGCGACGACCGCCGTGTGGGCAGCCATGAAGGTAAACACAAAATTGGGCATGGGTGTGAGAAAAAAAAAACAGTCAAAGAGAACGAGGACTTTATCGCATTTGGAAAAACCACGATACGTAATCCTTTTGCTTCAAACTAGAAAGCAAAACGTACTCTCTCAGGATATTACTCTTCTTGACGCGTGCGCGCTCGTCAACGTGAAACTCTTTTTGAACTCCGATTTTATTCCATACGATGATATGAATGTGGATTTCGAACGTAATAAAGTCGCAATACTATACGACATGTATGCAAAATTTGCGAACTCGTACTACGGCTACGAAAAAAACGAAACTTTGTTATCACTCGCGCAATTTATTTCGTCCGCGCCACTCGTGGTGATCGACTGCTCTCGTCAAAACGAATCTGTAAAAAGCGCAACCGTGGACATTCGTATCGAATTCGAATGTAGAAAAAACATTCCATCGGGCACCACGGCCTATTGCCTAATTATTCATGACAGAGTAATAGAGTACAATCCATTGACAAATGTCGTTCGTAAAATTATCTAACAATAAAGATAACGATTTTGACGATATTACAGGCTAAGTATTTTTAATGTATGCATCACAAAATAAACATTATTTAAAACGAACTGTACTACGTTTATTGACACTCCTACCGATTCATTTCCTATATCTATTTTAGACACACATACCACTCCTCTCCCTCCCCATACTCGGCAGAATGCGATTGACAGTCGAACCGTACATTTCCGCTGTGCACGTACGCCGCGATGTCTCTCGCTTACCTCGTGGCTTTCGTTTGCGTAACGGTATTGCGCATCGACGCCGACGGTACAAAATCTCGTAAACAAAGAAGTGATAGAATATTTGCAGAGGTACGGTTACCTAAACGAGGCAGATGTAACTACTCACACGTCGATCGAGGATGAAAGAATTAAAGCGGCTATCGCATTATTTCAAGAATACTATCAAATACCAGGTAACGGTATATTGAACGATAATACGTTAGATCAAATACGAAAACCTCGATGTGGACTCCCGGATATGCCACTCCAGGAACAAAATACGTATACAGTAAAATGGAAAAAAACGCACCTTACGTGGAACTTTCACTTAGCGGACGCGAATACATTGAAACTCGCGACATACGCATTCTCAATATGGTCGGCGAACACGTCTCTAACATTCGAACGTAAAACGTTAAATCCAGATATTTTGATATATCGCGGAGGAATTCACACATACGTTGACAACAGACGCAGGGAAACGATCTGTTCCGGTTTGTTCGACGGACCCGGTGGTGTGCTCGCACACGCGTTTCCGCCTATGAACGACCCCGTGCAAAGCACTGAGATACACGTAGACGTATCGGAACCTTGGCATATACAATTAAACGAAAGTATATCAGAAAACAAACTACATTTACTTTACACATTAACGCACGAAATTGGACATTCATTAGGATTATCGCACAATTCCCGCGTAGATTCTCTAATGTTTCCTTACGCCATCGATAGATCCGTTACACTCAGTATAGAGGACATTTTAGATATTCAACGTCTATATGGAAAAAATCCTAATGAAGTACCGAGTACACGATCTCCACCGGTAACTACAGACACGCGTAAAACATCAACGCAAGATCTGTGCGATCTACCATACTTGGACAATATACTGGTGTTGAAACATCACATATTCATAACTTATCGAAGGAGCATATGGGTGATAGCCATCAATGGTAAAATGTACAAGGGACCACTCGCGCTCAACGACTATCTTCATTTTCTTCCGGCGAACGTTTCAATAAACGCCGTGTATCAACGGCCATCGGAAGAAATTGTGATATTCGCGTGTTACGTCCAAGCTCCGATTCCGGGAGGAGCTGCGGAAGGGCGCAACGAACTCTGCCCGATATTCGGTCACGCTCGATCCCCAAATTTCGGAAGGGGCAACGGAGGAGCGTCACCGAGTTCGGGCTCTCGCAGGTACACACCGTGGAATGTCCTGCAAGTCGATCGTACCTTTAAATGCTCCGGAAAATGGGTCAGTGTCTCGAAAGAGACACTATGACGCCTTTTTCCGAGAGCGGTCACGATCGTTGGTCCTTTAATTTAGGTCAGGGAACTTAATCCCTTTTACCTGGGAGTGGACCTGTGCGATCTAACGGGAATGGATGAGGGAATACGAGAAAAAGGGTTTAAGAATTTAAGCGATTTTTATATTTTAAAATTAAATTTCTAATACATTTATTTATTACTATTACAAAATATATAAGGAACATTACACGTGATAAAATAAATGAAAATAAAAGGTGAATAGACATTACACAAATCTTATTAAACTA